CATTCATTTTCTCAAACCAAGTTCTGGAAATGTAAAAGATCTATTTTTCACGTCCAATAGTTTCAAATATGAATCTTTCAAAAATATTGTCGCATTTCTGTATTGTTTTTCTGGTGGCGATACAACATCTGGGTTTGCCGGTAAAGGAAAGAAAAACATCGTAAATTCATTATCTTCTAATATATAAAATTCTCGTGTCACAGTGTGTGTAACCAAACTCTTCCGAAACGGTTTGACTGATTTTTATGAAATTTTCTGTCTATATTCGGTAGGTCTGAGAATAGGTCGTAAACTATTTTTTTATACCCCTAGGTGATAAGGGTGGCCCAACCAATTTTTTTTTTTTATTTTTAGGACAAAATTTGTTATTTTTATTTTTTTAAGATTTGGTTTCAAAAAATACATATAACCCTAAATTTTCACCCTTCTACCACCAACCCCCATTTTGTAGTAACGATATTAATATCTTTACTTTCATCCACAGACACGCAATAGGGTTCAAGATGGCTGTTGATATAATCATTGTCGTACGATAAATATTTATGTATAATTTATAATTTAATTTAATTATAATTTATTTATTTATTTATTTTGATTTAATTTTTTATTTAACTATTAAAATATTCACTAGAAATAATTTATAGGGCAAGACAACGTTTGTTGGGTCTGCTAGCTAGACGATAAAAATATCAATATCAATAGGTCCATATTTTTAATAAAAAACATGCAATCAAAGAAGATATCGTAAAAAATGGATTATTAATCATATATATTGATAAATGTAAAAATGACAATATAACACTGAATCAATTAAGATTTCGAAAATCAATTGGCAAGAATTAAATCATCTTTCATATTGACAAATCTCCCACCAACAGAAGGCGTTTGTTTCATGGATTTTAAATTTTTGAGTTTATCAGTGTAACATGGAATCTTATTTTTTTCGAGTACCTAAGTAAAGTGTAAATTTTAATACATAGCTCAAAATTTTACATGATTAAAAAAAAATCGAATTCGATTTTTTCGTTTTTTTAGATTTCCTGTGAAAATTTGCCATAGTAATGTATACTTTTTTTTTACACCATCAGAAAGTAGAGATTTCAACGAACAAAAAGCACACCGATTTTTTTAAAAATGACGTGAGAATTTTCCATTGAAAATTAGGGTGGTTTCTCGATATTAAATCAAAATAAAGGGGGAAAATAAATATTTTGAATAAAAAAAATTACAGTGAGTTTGGAACATAAATAGGTAAGTTTTTACCAAATTTCGTAAAAAAAAAAACTTTTTTGTGGGAGATAAAAATAAAAAACCAAAAACTCGGTTATTTGCATTTTTCGCATAAATTTTGAGGTTATGTAAAAAAAGTTTAAATCCAAAAGTTGTAGATCCTTTTATTACCTAGAACTTTGCCATTTAACTTTTTTCGATAGGACTTGTAGTTTTCCGGAAATCGTGATAAACCGTTTTATACCCTTAAAAGCTCACCCTCTTCCACTTCCCGACCTCAGATCGCCCGTAAATTATTTTTTCTTTTATTTTTGTTATATTTTCTTCATTTTCCAATGGGTATCATCCTGTTCTAAATTTTTTGTTCTCAAAAATTATTATCGGCCCTGGCCGATTAGGCAATATGCTTAATGACTAATGTTTCAGGTATTATGCATAATTCCTGTTCCTCTGTTAGTTATTATCAATATTACCTAAACGTTTCCGTTATTATGCATAATAACTGAAAATTTCAGTTATTATGCATAATTCCTAGTCTTTCCGGTTATTATGCATAATAACTGACAAGTTTAGTTATTACGCATAATTCCTAAAATGTCTAGTTATTATGCATAATAACGGATTTCGGATATTAGCTGTAACATATACATTGTAACGGAATTTCAAAAGTCCCGCTTCGCTGAAATTATACCTCACTTGTTATTAATGTCATTTGTACTCATGTCATTAAAGTCAAAGCTTTTATTGTTCTACCGTTTGTCAAGTGTCAATTAAAGTAGTTCTCGTTCATCTAAGCTCAAAACAACAAAACAGTCATTTTTAAAACTCTTGGTGCTTGCTTACGAAAACTTTGTTTTTGGTCTTATTATCGCAATGGGATACTCATAAACGGAGAGTGGGTGTATTATGTAACCGCTTGTAAGTAAGAATATCTGACCAAATACCCTGATGTGCAAAATTCAAGAAACATCATTAGAAGCTCACACTATAGATCTAATCAACAGATTTGTTCGAACCGACAGTATCAACAAGGGGTAATCTAGAAGACCTTCAAAATCTGAAGAAGTTGTTGATGATTTGAAACGACTTCAGCAGAATCCACAAACATCTTTGACAAGACTGTCTCAGCAGTCAGGAGTTTTGTTGCAACAGGAAATTGAGCAATGGGTCCAAAGCACTGACGAAATGATGTTGCAGAACATTTTTCACTATTAACAAGAGAGTGAACATGTACCTCGAATGGTGAATATTTTCAACATTTACTATGATATTTAGCCAAAATAAATTTCTTTTTATTGTCAACAGTACTAGCCATGAAATGTGACAATTCATTGACAGTTCATTAATTTGTTACTAATTAACGAAATTTAGGCCTTTTGTTCTTGCAAAGATAATTGAGTAAAATAGTACTATGGCGGATAGTCAGTCCGGAAAATTTCAGGACCATCAACAATTAAAAGAGTCCTACAACAGTTTGAATCCCAAGGTTCTACTATAAACAAATTCTGCAGGTGGCAACGGAATAATCCTGGTGTTAGCGTAGAAAAAATAGACTTTCCCAGGTGAAGATAAAGAAAGTCTGTCCACAGTGGTTCAGGTTTCTGGGAACATCCAAAAAGAATCAAAAAATATTCTTTAAACCTTCTCAAGCAAATATTACACGAAAAATTACGACATACCTGTGAAACGTTATTTTTTCTCCATAAACTGTTAATTGAAGAGGATATCAAAAGATGACAAAAAGTTTTTACTTCCTGAGCTAAGCCAAGTTGATTTTGATGACGGTATCATAAAATTTTGTTGTGGAAAACTTACTTGAAATATACGCATAACATGCTTGCTTGCCTATACTTAAATAATCCACATATAACTTTATTTTAACTTATAGGGGTTATTATAAAAAAATTATATTCCCAAAATTACATTTTAATTTTTTTTATAGAAGCTGAATTTGTTCTACTGTACTTCAGGAGCGAATGAAATTCTGATTCAATTTTTTCAGAAATATTTATTTGACATCAAAAAGTAGAACGAAACTTGTATTATAGGTTATTATTATTTTCGATAAAAAAAAAACTGGGAGATACGTCTTTTGGTTTAATAAACTTATTTTTAAAAAGATGTTTATTTCTTCACAGTTTCATATATGCATATATATTTTCATTGTTTTAAACGAAATTTTTCTTTGACGCATACTCAAAAACCAAATTTAAAATTTGACGCCTGTTAAGTCCGGAACCGCTCCTTTGACACGTGATTATTTATTATTGATTAATAATACGTAATTATGGGTTATTACTTATTCATAACTCTTTTCAAGTAGAGATGACATAATGAATCGAAGCGTAGAAAAATGCATGTTGAATTATGAGCAATTGAATTTCTTTAATTTATTGCTTATCGTAATTTATAATCCCCCTCAAGGGGGATTTTGGTTACAACCGGCGATTTTAACATCGATTTTATCAGTAGGAATGTAAAGCTAATAGGCCAGTGCCGAAGCCTTTGAAAATTGTAAAAAGTGAAAAAAATTAGAACAGGATGATACCCATTGGAAAAGGAAGAAAATATAACAAAAATAAAAGAAAAAATAATTTACGGGCGATCTGAGGTCGGGAAGTGGAAGAGGGTGAGGTTTTAAGGGTAGAAAACGGTTTATCACGATTTCCGGCAAAACTACAAGTCCTGTCACAAAAAGTTAAATAACAAAGTTGTAGGTAATAAAAAGATATACAACTTTTGTATTGACACTTTCTTTACATAAGCTCAAAATTTATGCGAAAAATGCAAATAACCGAGTTTTTGGTTTTTTATTTTTATCTCCCACAAAAAAATTTTTTTTTTCGCAAAATTTGGTGAAAACTTACCTATTTATGTCCTAAACTCACTGTAATTTTTTTTATTCAAAATATTGATTTTTTCGCCTTATTTTGGTTTAATATCGAAAAACCACCCTAATTTTCAACCGAAAATTCTCACGTCAAAATGTTTGCTTTTTTAAAAAAATCGGTGTGCTTTTTGTTCGTTGAAATCTCTAGTTTCTGATAGTCTAACAAAAAGTATACATTATTATGGCAAATTTTTACAGGAAATCCAAAAAAACGAAAAAACGCGAATACGAATTTTTTTTTAATCATGTAAAATTTTGAGATATTTTTTAAAATTTACACTTTAATTACTCGAAAAAAGTAAGATTTTATATTACATTGATAAACCAAAAAATTTCAAATCCATGAAACAAACGCCTTTTGTTGGTGGGAGATTTGTCAATATGAAAGATGATTTAAATCTTGCCAATTTATTTTTGAAATCTTAATTGATTCAGGGTTATATTGTCATTTTTACAAAACTTTGCCATTTAACTTTTTGCGATAGGACTTGTAGTTTTGCCGGAAATCGTGATAAACCGTTTTCTACCCTTAAAAGCTCACCCTCTTCCACTTTCCGACCTCAGATTGCCCGTAAATTATGTTTTCTTTTATTTTTGTTATATTTTCTTTCTTTTGCAATAGGTATCATCCAGTTCTAAATTTTTTTGTTCTCAAAAATTATCGGCACTGGCCTATAACTGAATCTTCTGGCTTACTTTTGTCATTTAATTTAATCTACACAGTACATGAATTCGCTTAAATTTTGTTTGAATAATTTCATCACAAAACTGGAAGCAGAATATAGCTTACGCACAGGAAGTAAAAATAAATGTTTTGTTTTACACTGTTACCAAACTACATTTACTTGGAAAATCGTTTAAGGATATGAGAAGAACCTAATAGAATGAATGCTTGTCAACTATATTTTTTACATAAGAGTACACTGCAGTAGGGATAAGAGCATTTCAAAATTGTAATAGCTAGTTTGGAGTTGTTAAAAAAACATGAGATTAAACTTTACTTTCTCATGAAAGAATCTTCTGTGAAACCAACCTAAAAAAAAGAGGAACAGAAAGGTAAATACAAAAATCTTTTTTGCTTACATTTTCAGCTTCCTTTTTTATACAAACTGTATAAGATGAAGCAGTTTCGCATCTGTCTTCGAAGATTTCCGCTAAAAATTACTTGGTTAATAAAAAAAAACAGTAAGATTTAAAAACGGCACACGTTTCTCTTGGCAAACATCGATAATTTTAAGAACTTTTCCATAGATATCTGCATCTTCACTTTTAAGAGGATTAAATGCGTCAATTGTTGCTTGTTTGTCAAATGTCCCGTCTGCTTTCATCTAAAAAAGGAAATTGATATGTGTCCTAAATAACAGATATGTATTTGTGATGATTAGGATGATTACATACCACATTGAAATGTTCGTAAATGCAAGCGTGTACACATTTTGTTGTGTGCGAACTAGGAGGAACTGTATGTTTTATCAATTCGGTTATGTCGTCTAAAGAGAGAAGAAATAGTGAGATAGTTATGTGGACGAGCTTTAAATGTCAAGGAAGTTACTAGAGTAATATGATAGATACTAACCAGCGTTAGCACCTTCTTTTTCTGCGCAGTTTCCAGCAACTTGTTCTATTTCAGCTGTCACCTTTTCAATAAATTCTTCACTCAACTAAAACTATTTTTTTAAGTTAAAATAATATTAATGAAGTGCTACTTACAGCATTTGCACTAAAAAATATTCCCCAAAGAATTAGTAAACCACGCATTTTTCACCTACTTAAACACAAAGTAACCAATAAACATGAACGCAGTGATCTCCGATATAAATATTTATACACATAAATCTTTTAAACCTTGGAGTTATATCCGCTGATTAATAGATGAAAATACCAATTAAAACGCATTTAGATCAAAAAATTTATGAAGCTTAACAACGACAAACATCTATCGCACAAAATAATATGACAATTTTGCGAACCTTCGATACGCCTAATGTATAAATAATGAATATGGATTAGTAATAATTAATTACTCATTACTTTCCATGAGCTAGCAAACACTGAGGACGGTTGAATAGGATTCTAGATTGGTGCATAAAATTAGATTTTGCGATGTTTGTGTTGTAATAACCTCTATAAAGTAAAAACCAGCGGCATAAAAAAACACCTCACCAGCCCCTGTGCTGTGACTGTTCTGAATATTATTGTTATAATTCTTATTGACGTGCGTATTCTCACCTTTTCAAGAAAATCAGGTGACTCGTTCTTTAAACATAGAAAATACACGATGCTAGAGACAAAGAGAAAAAAGAAAGACATAGTCGTTTATATTCTGAGTTGGTGGTTGATGTTATTATACTCTGTTAATTTTTTTGTGAACATTTGGCCGTTTAAGGAAAAAACTTAAAGCAGATTCGTATACCTACAAGTGTAGGAGTTTATTATTGTATAACATTTAATTCATTTATTGAAACTAAATCTTGCTGAAAGTGTTTAAATTCTGGAAGGTAAAGGATTCAGAGTGTCAAAGGTGTTGTGTTGTGTAGTAGGCTGCCACAATTCCATAAGTCAACGAGCAAGAGCATCCAATTTTATAGATTCCCGAGCAAGCCATATGAGCAATTACGTCGGAAATTTGGATAAACAGCTTATGTAGGAAGTAAGAACTACAGACCAGTAAAGAACCCAAGTCTGTTTTTTAATTTAGTGTTAATTTTTAGATTGTTAAACCTACTTTCAACGAGCTAAAGAAAATATATTTTGAGGTTACAAATATAGTCATTTTGAGTACTAAAAAGTTGTATTTGTTGTCAATGTAGTACTACTCCGAAGAAGCCATGATTGCCGGTGAAAAACGACCGAACCTGTAGTGAACACTATTGGCAATTGCAGGTTGAATATTGAAAGTAGCCCATCATGTAATATAACCCCACAATATTTCCAGAGGTAATGATTGTAAATACCAATTTTTATTCTGAATTTAAAAATTATTTCTGTATTAGGAATATCGAAGCTTTGAATGTACAAAAGCTAAACCACAACGAAAAAGAAGCAAATACCAAAGTGAGGGTCCTTCAATAGATCTGAAGGCAACATTACCACCGAAACTGTTTGTATTTCAGTTTCTAATGTTGAGCTATGGTTAAAATAAAATTTCAAATGCCAAATAAATTTTGTATTGTTACGAAAGAAACGAGAAATAAAAAAGTAGGAAACTCAGACAATGTCAAATGCAAAGCATTTCATGGATAGTGTTCTGTTAAAAATACTGAAGAAATGATTAGCCTTTTCGGATTTTTTTTTGTAGTTTTTAATTTGTTGTTAGTACACTAAATGATAAACATGAGAATGATAAATTAAATAAAGAAAATTTTTAAGTTCACAGCAAGGTTTGATTTTGACAAACCTTTACTGCCTGGAATCCCAACTTAAATCCATTTTCATAAAAACACTAGTTAAGAACGCAATAGAGTACTGACGAGTTGTTTATGAGGACGCTAATGCAAGTTTTATTCTAGACGCATATTGTAGTCGTTACTTAACGTCGTATTCGTACGTAAGTGACGTAACGCAGTATTCAAATTCAAATTAAAATGAAACCTGCCGCCTCCCAACCTGACATACATTCCTAGTTCTTCTTACGTTCCTTTTGCTTGTACCTTTTGCCCAAAACTCAGTTAGGAAGCGAAAGCGCTCTATGGCGCGTCCTGGACCTCCTGGCTTCATTTGCTAGGGCTTGAAATTGGATTCTGTGGTAGGAGCTCCAATCCAATACTGTTATTTAAATCACTGCAGATTATTATCAGATAACTTTCTGATTGTCACTCTTGACACATTTAATTGATGTAATTTTTTGTAGTTGGCCCGTATTTTGTTTAACATTTAATCGTTGAGTGGCGTCATGCAGACGACACTTGCAACAGGGGAATGAGGAGGCCGGTCCTATGGGGCGGTCTCTATTAATAAAGCAGATTGTGATATCGGTTATAAACAGATCTCCATGGCATCTGGAATCCCTTGGTCCTCTAAAACCAGGCGACGCGATCGGTAATTACTAATTAACGTCGCTAACCAGCGATACACGGATATGCTAGTGTATCAACCTATCTATTCTACAACCGTGGTTGTGATGAAAAGATGAAATCAACTGTCATTTTTTGAGGATTTTCACGATCTGACCTCCATTATCACCACGAAATATTCACTTTTTTTTTCCATTCCGACATTCTGTTTTTATTTTCTCTTTTACGCATGAGTGACGTTTGAAACAATGCACGTTACTTTGGTGACTAGTGTATCTGAAATATATTCAAAGCAAATAACCAACGGAAAAGAGTGTATTATTATCAGTGTACATGCTTAAATTCGATTGTTTATGTTTATACATCGAAATAATGTCACGTAGAAATTTGTTTGAATTGAATGGGTTGTCTCCTCAAAACAGAGGACTAAAATGATTAATTAATTCACAATGGAATAAAATATTTTGAATATTCTACTCTTTGCAACACTGATTATTATCGGTATTCCCACAGTTCTTACATATCAGACGTACACTCGTGTTTTAGTAAAGTTAATTTTATCCCAACTTCATACACATTTATCAGACACGTTTGGTGTTAAAACTTTACAAGTTAGGTAGTCAGTAAATTTATCTTTAAATTATTACTAGGAGGCTTTTATTACGGCACATTTATCTTCCAAAGAAGTTCCTCATGATAAATAGAATCAATAACCACTAGATTTGTTACCTGCAAATGCACTCTTCTAGAGAATGGCTTATTTATATTGCAACTAAACGTGAGGTGTTTTTTTAACTGTAATTAATATATTCTTTGTTTCAGGAAAAGTATTTTACCCATGTGATGAAGATGGCAAATGGTTATTTTATCCAGCGTTTAATAAAACGTGGGTAAATTACACAACATGTGTTAACATCGAAGATTTTCAGGTAAGGAGAAAACAAACAAAACACCATATTAAAATTTTTGGACGATCAACCAGTAATTATAAATATTACTGGTTGATCTTTACTTCCCGAGCGTAAGCAAAGAAACATCATCCAAGAACATCATAATTACAACTACGAATTCAAAATTTTACACATAGAAAATAAAGGTGCAAAATTAAACGCGCTAGAATGTCTGGAAATAAATAGGTACAATAGATTTCATACACTAATGAATGACCAAACTGAAATAAACAAATCTCCCTTACTTAACATAAATTCGTAAACACTATTGTGAAAATCAGGCATAAATTCAAAAATAGCTCTGTAAAACCCCAGTTTCTCTTCTGCCTGAAGACGGTACTATATACCGAAACACGTGTAGCAGTGACTACGAATATATTATTTAAACTCTGAAAGTTTTTTCATTATTATTAAAATTCGTCTAATCATCCCCACCACTAATATGATGACATCACTTCAAAATTGTACATAGTAATTGGGTTTTAAATTGCATCAAATAGCATAGTCTTACACATGTAGTTTATGACTCCGAATTGAGATTTTACCTGAATCGTCCAGATTTTTGGAAAAAAAATCAAAATTAGGAAACAACATTTTGACATTTAATTCGGAATCTACAAACTCGAATGCTTTGAAATCTTGCAGATGCTTTACAGTTATGATAAGCATGATAAAATTTTAATCATAATCTATTTAGTTATCCCCTCCAAAAAATTGATGACGTCACCCCAAAATTTTCCTGAATAACTCCTATCTAAAATGTACAAAATATGATGAGTCTCTTCTTGTGATTTATCATTTCATTCATATTTTTTGGATTTGGATATACAGGGTGACTCAAAAAATTTAATGAATGCGCAAATTTATTTTATTGATTTAATTAAGAACTACAAAACCGAATGCTTTGAAATCTAATGCGAAAAAAACATAATAGGCATGCAGTCGTCACGTTTCCGACAACGAGGGAAGTACCGTCTAAACTCTTTAGACCAATTTTTTATAATTACGCAATGTAGCTTTTACTGTCGGATTTATGTTAATTATGTGATTTAAATACAGAATTAAAGTGATTTTTAATCATCTAGTAGAGCACTGAATTAAAAATAATAGTGACGGAACAATAACATTTTCTATATTACCTCATGAAATAAAAAACACAACGGAATACAAGTTAACAAATTATTGGTAATTGTCCAATGTGATCAACTACAAGTTTATACTATCATTCGAAAAATATTGAACAACAATCGCCACAAAACTAAACCTTAAGTTGAAAATATATATCTACGCAACTAGCAAATATAGGAGATCTCTAAAATAAATTTGATTCAAACGTATCACTTTTTTCTGTGCTATTCTTATCATAATTTTGACTTTATTGTATTATGCGAATCGTAGCAACTATTGAGGTAAAGTTAAAAAAAGGCAGACAATTAAAGTGGGTCCTAAAATTTTTGCTTACACATAACACTGATTTATTGTTGGATCGAGTAGGTAAATATTAACCGTTTCCTATGCATCATGTTGATCATGTTGATTGCTTCTCGAGACTTTGTAGAGAAAATTGTTAAAACATAACAAAGAGTTGTTTGTAGTTGCTGCATTAAATATAGTGGTTATTTAGTCACTCTATCGTTTGAATACTCCGTGGCTGTAATAGGTTATGGGCTCAGAATGCGGCCAGTACTATCAAGTGAAACGCGACTAAACCTTCTCAATAAAAAAAACTATTACACGTGAAAAGTCCAAATGCAAGCGGTGACACAACAATCGGTCCAGTACTTTCGGAGATTGTCTGTCTAATAAAACTCCGGGACGGCAGACAGACGGAAATGGGAGACCTATTTCTTCGTCTTCTAGGGGTCATGAAAGATCGAGAAAACGTCAAAATAGAGAGTCGGCCGACGGACTCGATTACAATACTTCCTTTGCTTACGCTCGGGAGTAAAAATTATTTATTTGTACATTAGATAAAAAAGGGAAAACCATTTTAAATAAAAAACATAATTATTACTTTCAAATTCAAGGTCAATTACATATTATTAAGAGAGAATGTTGTATTTTTGGCATATGGACAACAAAACGGTCAAAATCGACAAAATATATTACAAAGTCTTTTGTATGAAAATGATAGACAAACTAACAAAATTTTATTTAAATTGTGTACTTCCGGAATTGGTAGATCCGAGACGACGTAGATCTCTTGCAATTAGAAATCTTGATTACATTTTCCACGTACAAAGAGAGAGAGAGAAAGAAAAAAAATAACGAAAATGCATTATAGTAGTGTTTTCAAAATATGTATTCCTAAATGGGAACAGCAGTAATAGAATAGCTGCTAAAAAACGTACTTTGATAACACTAAATATAATAAGTACTTATATTAATTATTATTTAATTTTGAGGAATTGCTATTACTTTGTCTCCAATAGCATAACTAGGCACTTGCAAAGAAATATTTTAATTATTCTAATAATTCATTTTTGCAAACAGACCTCTGAACAATTCTGGTCGGTTTTATTATTGTGGAGTCAGTGCTGGTGTATGCAGCTGTGTGCTAATCCGACCGGTCCTTTAAATACAGTGGCCCGTCAAAGCACTGGTCGTGACTGAATTTTACTGCCTCCCAAGGAAAAATTTGCTTTAGCTCACCCTTAAGGGTGATCTCTGTGAGTATAGTGGCGGAAATTTATATAATAATATTAATAATAATCAATTTTATGAAGGCACAAAATAGAGGAAAAAATAAAAGTACATATGGCCGTGTCAATCTATTTAAGTATTCAAAAATTCTTCTGTCGAATAATACGATGCATTTCTTGAATAGCTACTACCTTTGATTTGAAATTACTAAATTTAATTCCCAACATCAAGCTTCTTTATTTTATTAAAACAAATAATACCAATATATTTTGGACTTTGCTTGCCAATATCAAAGCGGGAGAATGCAGTTCTTAAATCATTGACAGATATTTCGTTTAATATTTAGCACTAAACTTAAAATATATAATGACTAAAGAACAGATTTTAGGCTAAAGAAAATCCAAAATAGACCCTAAAATAGGCCATAAATAGGTGATTTGGGCAGGCAAGTTTTAGGAAAAATAAATTTTACGCAACGTCTAGTTTTCTTTGAGATCGATCTACATTAATTTTATTATTTGACATAATCAACTATCACAATTGTTAGTGAGATGTTAGTGTCCTTATGTTTAACCATTTTAGGAGTTTTACAACCCATTCTGCGAAATAATTTCTTCCTAGTGAGCTAAATTTTTGTATACACATTTATTATGGTGTTTTACTGAAATTGATATCCCACAGACTAAAAAAGTTATTGAAGGTTAAAAGTCACGAAAATCGGTTTTTCGTAAATATCTCGCGTCCTATTGATCGGAGGTCGGATAAGGTTATGATGAAAATTGTTATTCGTCCAATTCTCTGTAACATAAGTATGTTGCAGTTTTTTGTTAGGTTAACCGTTGTTGTTGTAGAACGCAGAGAAAGCATAATTATTTCATTCCCATACGGTATTGCATACCGTATACACCAAGGGGTATACTCTATTGCTACTCTATTGATGTTTCTAACAGCTGGAGCCACAAAAGATTTGTACAGACTTTGCTGAGAAGACAAATTAATTCAGAACAGTGTGGTGGGGAGCTAAAAAATAATATAAGTGCAAAAATACTGCCGCGATTTGCACTTGTATCGCCTTGTATTAGAAACATAAATTGCCTTAAGATAAGCTAACGACGATTTTTTCACTTTTTGTTATGTATTGTATAACTAGAATTTTATGAAAATTTGTACCTTTGTGTTTTTCGCATATAATAAAATAATCTTTAGATCGGCTGTGCATAACAGAAAAATGGCAAACAAATTACTCATTGATGTTCCTCTACATAATTTTTCTTGCAGCATTTTTCATGGTTCAAGTATATAACACTGATAGACAAAATAATGGCAGTGAAAAACTATAGGTACATTAAAAAATCACAATCTAAATTGGTAGGTATAAAGATGACTTTAAGAAAATGCGTTCCGTCATAGAGAAAATTGCCCAAATTCCGTGCTTGACAAAGTAGCTTTCAATTCGCATCGTAACATGTATTACTCAAATAAAAATTCAAGCATATAACAGATTTTTAACAGAATCTACTAATAAATCTAGAGACGATTATAAGTGAGGAACTCTTGCTAGAAATTCTAACAGTAACGTTTTTGCCCACCCGGGACTAAAATTGATATTTCAGTCCCTGCAAATCGGGACTAAAGTGGTTCTTTTTGACCCTAGGGATAAAAAGTGTTTCCGTGATCACCAAAACACTTTTTAACATAAAGTGGTAACATAAACACATCGAAAAATTCAAAATGGCTCGTCTTATTTACACCTTTAGCCTTAGTTACCCAACAAGACTTACTATCGCGATTGATGATAGCTTATTTCGATTTACATCGTGCACTTTAATGTCTAGAAATAGTATATTATATACCATAATATAGTAATCTTTTTACAATGCTGTTACCGTAACCTATTTGGTATAATAAAAAAATAATACAAAACATCAAAATGAAGCTATACTATAGGAAAAAATGGAAATGCTCCGGATGCTATAGGCATTATGCAGAATTCAACCGCCTGCGACGACTGACCAAACTGCAAATTTCTAATGCTTATAAACTGTTTACCCAAAAAGCTGAGCAGTGTTTGCAAAAATCCCCCAATGATTTTTGGAAATATATTCATCTTAAGAACAAGGAAACGAGAATTCCTGGCCTGACAAAACATGATGATAATGTATATCGTAATTCCTCTGATATTGTTAATGTCTTTGCAGCGGTATTCTCAAAAGGTTTTTCTGGCAAAGCAACGTATCAAATTGAAGACGTCTATTCTAATTTACCAACTATCTCTCTTTCTGAAGTTACAGAGTCTCAAGTCTTAGAGAACCTACGAAAACTTCCCGCCGGACAGACATGTGGTAATGATCAACTACCTTATTTTCTAGTAAGAGACTGTCAAGGAATTTTCGCAAAACCTTTACAGAAAATCATAAACTTGTCGATTCGTTATTGTGTATTTCCTGAAAATGGAAAAATGCGAGAGTTGTGCCAGTATTTAAAAATGGTGATCGCTCAGATGCAAGCAAATACAGACCCATCTCAATTTTATGTAACTTCGCCAAGGTATATGAACAGCTCCTCTACAACAGTATATACAATAGTGTCAAGTCATATATTTCACAACATCAACATGGATTCATGACTAACAGGTCAACTGTTACCAATCTAGTCTGTTTAACGCAATCTTTGTGTGAAGTTGTAGACAAGGGAGGACAAATGGATGTCATATATGCAGACTTTTCCAAAGCCTTCGATAGCATCGACCATGACATCCTCCTACAGAAGTTTTGGATTTTCTTTGAAACTTATGAACCTGATGTCTTCTTATCTGTCTAATCGTTTGAATTTTGTCTTTTTTAATGGGTTTGAATCTGATAATTACGTGTCAACATCCGGAGTTCCACAGGGGTCTAATCTTGGCCCTCTGCTTTTTAACTTGTTTATAAATGACCTCCTAGCATCAGTACACTGCAACACACTCGCTTATGCAGATTATGTCAAACTTTTTTGTCCCATCTACGATATTGAGGATTCGGCTCGCCTTCAAAGCAACTGGGATCACTTGGTTTGCTGGAGTGACTTTAATAGACTGAATTTTGATAAATGTTATGTGGTGTCATACACAAAGAAAAAACATCTTATTCAAACCAATTACATAATAAAGGGAAGTCCTCTGCAAAGGAAGGAGTATATTAAAGATCTTGGAGTCACTTTTGACTGCAAACTGTCATTTGTTAATCATATAGATTCTGTCTATCTGAAAATGCTTGTTCAATGTTATCATAGCGTTGAAAACCCTACATTATGCCTTTGTTGTCAGCAAACTAGAATATGGCTCGATAGTATGGTCGCCATTGTATCTCTTACATCAGCTTCAACTGGAAAGAGTCCAAAGAAAACTCTTGAAATACATCTCCTTCAAAATTGATGGCATTTATCCGGAAAGGGGAATTGATTATAGTTCACTACTGCAAAGACATGGATTCAGCTCATTGTCTGACAGGCGTGGCTTACAATGTTCGAAGTTCATCACTAATAAGATTGACTGTCCATATGTTATGGGTTATGTAAACTTTCATGTTCCGAAACATGCATCACGTTGTGTGGAGACGTTTTATTTGGTAACACCAAGAACTAATGTCATGAAGAATTCGCCAATGAGTAGAATATCATATTTTGCTAACATCCAGGATGATGATATATTTCGTATTGCACACTAACTGTAAATTCTTTTGTATGTGTTTCACTCATATTAATTTTTTTTCACAATTAATCAATTAATTAATTCTTATTTTATTTTACATATTTTGTTAATTCCATTGTACTATGTAGAATGTAGGTATTATACAATGCGTTGTCATATAAATTGTGTACACTGTTGGGCAATAAATGCTATTATTATTATTATTAACCTTAATTTATTGAGTTACTTTTTTCGTACTCTAGGGGTCATGACGTAACTTGTGAATTTACAACCAATGAAATAAAAATACACGTATTGACAGACTTGTCAACAGTATCACAATATTTCAGGCTAAAAAACGTTAATTAACTGATCTTACATTAATTACACTCGTTGAGCGGGATCGTAGCGTAGCACGTAATTTAATTTTGTTTAAACAATTACCCTTTGGCAAAATTACAAACAAAATTTAAACATACCCGCTTTTTAACTGGTCTTACAAATTCTACCTGCACTATATTACAAAACGCTTGTAGTGCGCTGGAACACGGACGACTGTCTGCGTTATTTGATTTTTATTTTTCAGATGCGGTTTCGCAACGTTTAATTTTCTAGGCGCGAAATTTAATTTTTAAATCGGGAAATCTGCTATATTTAGTGAGCTAAATCCCAACGTTCAGAAAACCGCCGTTCTTGTAATTTCATAGTTTTATAGTCCCATATAGTATCAGACGCACCTGCAAGTAGAAATCATGATAATTTATCTAGCATCATAAATCAGAGGCACTATAGCCATTTTTTTACGTAACGTCATAAACAGTAATCGTAAGTTGTGTACTAAGGTAAAGAACTAACTGTTTAAATTTGATACTGTTATTCATGAGCTAAACTAAACATTTGTTCGGACTAAAACGAATATTATTTATGATAAGAACTGAGAAGACTTACAATATTGGAAATTTTCTTATTTATTTTGGACTTTTTATAATGTCAAGCTGTTTTTTCATTGTCTAGGCTAGGGAATAAGTTTTCTAATGAAATACGAACAACAATAATTTTATTTAATTTTTACTGTATTTCAAACGCTTAATTTTTGTTTGGTTTCAGTTTCGCCAACAGATCAATCTAATTTACTGCGTAGGCTACGGGGTGTCTCTGGTGGCTCTGCTCGTGTCTCTCGCGCTTCTTACATACTTCAAGTAAGTAACACAAGCATAATTAAATTAAGTGTAATTGTTGAGGCACAGACTAATAAATTTCCCAATTCTTTAACGTTGCTAAAAACACACAAGTAACGTAAAACAGACAAAACTTGAAATTTTATTGGCATAATTCTACGTGTTTCGAATACCACTTCAAAAAAGTTTCTAAGAAGACCTCGAACTTCGAGCGTGTTAACATGCAAAAATATTTCCACTTTATAACCGCTTTTCTGTTTGTGTTTAACGGAAAACAAGCTACTAAAAATTCAGAGAAACTTACAACGTTTACCTAAATTGAATGCGTCCGGATTTGGTTCATATCAAGCCTTTTAAAATCATATATTATTCACCATTTGAGCGTAATGGGAACTCTCGCTGAGAAATTTAAAACTAATCGAGAGCAGAGTGAGTTTTTCCGCAGAAACTTTGCCCTCAATCAAGTAAATGTACAACCCACGTGTCGAAACAAAATTCAATCTACATATTATTTTAACGCAGATTGGTATTTTAGTATTTCAGTTCCGTTTCCAGATAGGTCTCCACAATAGAAAGAGAACATTGGAATTTCTTCTTTGAGTACGGTTTAAATGAAATGAGTTGGGATTTAGAGTTGAATCACAACGTGCTTTCGCATATAACTTGAAGATACTATTGAATTAAATGTGGGACAACAATGGTATAGAAATTAATGTTTGTTAGATTAATAACTGGAGGGGTGAGATTTGGGCGAAAACTGATGCGCGCATACGATATTATGCCTTGGGGTTAGTTGACAGTGAACACAAAGTGGAATCATCCAGTCGTAATTATAGTATGTCATATTATAAAAATGTAAGTACAACAAATAAAAAGCAGCGTAATTCGATTTCCGAGGTCCTATAAAGCTGAAAACCAAATTGTTGCGGGGGCGTAAAATTGGTGGTCCGATGCAAAAAGCAGAAAAAGAAAGCATAATTTAGTTAGAGTGTATACCCATCTAAACGGCGTTGCGGAATTTTTAATATACATCATCAGAATATTTAAATTTTACTGTTTCGCTTGTATTGCACCCGCGAAATACATTAATACATATATGTATATATAGGAAATATGTTCTTCCATTTATGTTGTGTCCGCCACAACCTAAAAACGTTGCAGCAGCTTCCACCTAATTCCTCATCCTTCGAGAACATATCGAGAACATTGGTCCAAGCTTATTTCGACAGAACTTCTTTCGGCCCTGAAGAACAATAAAACATATCCCGGCTTTTCGAAGAATTATGTTGTGATTTTTTTTTTTGTAAGAGAACTTCTATAAAAATGAAAAGAAAAATTAATTTTTCCTTTACAAAATTTTGTGGTGACGTCATCAACATTTTTGTAAGGACACATATATCATTCTGGATATATGTAGTGTAATACTAATGACAGTAGTTTTGTATTCTCAAATTTTCGGGAAAATGAAGTCAGCCGTTCCTGATTGAATTAATAAAATAAACTGATTAACTTTTTTTGGACACCCTGTGTTCTAAAATTATGGGAGCATTAATAAATCACAAGTATAAACTCATCATATATGCATATTTTAGATCATGACGTCATCAATTTTTACTACTACTTTAGTAAAATATATATATAAATCCGATTATTGTTAACAATTCTGAAATGTTATTTCTTGTTTCCGCGGACGCTGTCGAGACCACCTCGACATCCGTGTCTCCGGCTTTAGAGCCACCCCGGTGATCCCTCGCCGTAGAGGGGCTGGCGCCCGAGCATCGCCGCTCCCGACCTAAGGCACCACCCCCGGGCTACGTCGGCCAGACGTGTTTCTTTTCAACGGCACTGGTCGGCCCAGGGCTTGGCACTGAGGCACGCCACCCCTACGCGATATCGACAAAATTCCGGACCGTCACCGACGCCACCCATTCATAGATGAAATTTAATGCAAATTCCATTCAACTAATTATATAATATGTATGTATGCAATCCGCAATACACCAATTTACTATTTAATAAACTATACCCATGATTATACCAGATCACGTTAGAGGAAAAGAGTGCTGTATATAGCTGTTAATTATGAACAACTGTTGCTTATGATAACTTAAATGGTTATGATCAATAACTTGAATAAAAAAAATATATATTAGTTTAGAAAATTTCAAAAAAATGTTAATGTTATTTAACTAACCGCTTCTCGTTGTAACATGTGATCAACGGCCATTTTATTTTTCAGATCATTAAGATGTGCTCGAATTACAGTACACATGAATCTATTCTCATCATTCGCCATCAATAATTTTTTGTGGCTGCTCTGGTACAGCATGGTAGTAAACGACCAGGAAGTGCTCGGAGAAAACAAGGTAAAGAATTTATATTTATTCTCTGTGGAGCTTCAGCGTGCGTCTTAATGGCGTCAAATATTGAGAAAACGGAGTGGAAGATTCTTTTGTGTTATGCTTTCCGATAAATTGACGTTTTATTTAAACATGTCACTTTTTACAGAACGTAATTGCTTTCAATAACGTTTTGTTTGTGTTTGCTAATTGCTTACGGTAAATTGAGTAGCCTTATTGACAAATATATATATGCTTTAAATTGATCCATTTTGTAACGTAGTTGATGCAGATTCTGTTATTTAGACAAATTTAGGCAGCGATTAAGTATGCAAAACTTTGGGACAATTTATTTAATATTTTTAGTGGAATTCTAAGCAAGATATTTTTTGTTCTACTATAAACGTACTGACAGAAATTGTTCGTCTAAAGACTCGTCTTGAAGTGAGAATAAGCGACCACAGCAATTTATGAGGGTTCTCTTTAAAGTAACATTAACATTTTCAAACTGACGTGGCAAAGTTCAAATGAAATTGTGCGCATTGTTATCGCCTCCCATTTCGGATTCGCATTTTCGAGCGATATTGTTAGACGTTCTTATACCGAATTCCATATCGTGACAAACTGCTGAAACCTCTAACTCAGGCTTTCATAAAAGACATGAAAACGTCATTTTCTTGATCGTTCGGACTTGTTTTTTCTCGTGGACTCGTGGAATGTTATATTCAGAAGTTTTACAACATTGCTTTAGTTTGTATTTTTATTAAGTATCTACAGCTCATGCAGCTTGTAACTTTTCCAGTCTCGACAAAACTGGATGAAATGACATAAAGATGAAATATTGAAGTTAAAACGGGCGGTTAAACCAATTTTCCTTTCAACCTACAACAAGATGTGTGGGAAAATGTTAAAAGTTAATGTCTATTGTTCGTTCGTTCGCTCTAATTCCGTGGAGAAATATGGTTTTAGGTAATGTTTCAATACAGGTTTATTTATTTTGTGGTAGTTATGTTTACTATTTTAATAAATTACAGCTAGTGCTTTATGAGAACAAAGTACAGATGTTCATAAATCTCACACTTATTTGTCTAATTGTTATTAGTGAGCAGACATTAGTGAGTTGTATAATGGGAAGCTTTTGCAATCATTAATATTGTGGAAGTAACCATAAATGAAACCACGAATTGTATTGTATATTAAAGATATACATGAATACAAATATACGAAAAGTATAAGTAAATAATATAAGTTGTTTCAGTATATAACATGTAAATCCTAATCCTCACGGATAAAAAATGCCTTATAAGATGGAGTACGGCGTATGCTATATATTATTAACTCATTGTTAACTAAATGTAATAAGTTATTAGGTTATTACATACGGCGGATGGCTGGTGTTTCCATCTTTATCGCACAAACTGGTTATTTTTCGGGAACGTGTGAGCGCTTGTCTGTATCACCTTAATGGTTAATATTAGTATTATACACCGTCGTATGTGTATTAAAGATTGGAAGTTGAGTAATTCCAAGGATATACTTTTCAACGGGTTAAAAAGGCCTGAAATCAGTCAGTAATGAACGTAATCGTCCAGAAATGAAACCATTTCCGACTTATGAGTGCGCCACTGTCGGTTTAAACTAATTAAAGTATCTAGAGTTAATTTAATAAAATGTCATTCCTGCAACGCCTACTAAGTGTTAATATTGTCCCACAATAAACCATGATAGGTGCCATATTGACCAATGAATTATCTTTTTCCGAGCACGTGACTTAGACCATTAAAAAAGCCAACTTTTTAGGAACCATTGTACTGTAAAATCGTAATCTTCCATCGTGACTGCGCATGTCAACCCATGTTTAAAACAATGTAGTATACATAACAACATAAACACATTTTTTATTTTTTTTTATATATTTTTTTTTTATTGAAAGTTAAAGAACTAAACGGTCGGCATTTTATGTCGCTCTTGAACATTGTCATTTTTTGAAGGTATTTCTACGTGAATTTTTGTGATTTTTGGTGTGTGACAGGAATCCTATGCACTTTGTCATTTGTGCAATTTTTGGCTTGCTCCTGTTGTATCCTGGCTGAGATTTCCACAACTTTAGTAGTTGCTGCTGGCACGCATATCTTATCAGTGAGTTTTTCGTACCTCTATTATTAGTTGTTTTTTTTTTTTTAGTTGTCAGTTAATTACTCACCTCATTTACTTTACCTTTTCCATTCCGAGGTCTACCTGGTTTGTCTCGTTATAAGTCACCATAATAGGCCCTATAGGTGCGAAGAATTGTATCCCTATTTATCCCTTTAAAATTTTTGTTTCCTTTACCGATTTATTTATAATTCAATCATGCCAGCTTACTGCACAATATGTAGTTCTGGTGTAACGCCATCTACACCCCATCTTAAATGTAGTGTTTGTAATAAATATTACCACATCAAATGTTACACTGAAGATGTGCCTGACGCTTACTCCGATGCATCTTGGGTATGCAAAGATTGTTCCTTGTCCAACGCTTTGTCAACACCCATCACTCTATCTGCTATTGAAAACATAATTGAGAAGCAGTTTCTAAAATTTAAGGCTGATATTATGATTGAAATGTCACAAATTATAGATAGTAAACTTGTTTTAGTCAACAACAGAATGTCCGACATCGAAAACAATATGCATAGATTGCAAACTGAAATTAATGAAATTAGAGAGTCAGCTCCAAACAACGAAGCTACCAATAACATCGATGACGTAGCTCGGGAAATCTGTGATCGAAATGAACGCAGCAAAAATGTTATTTTGTATAACATACCTGAATCCGTTGCTAATTCAGTCGAAGTCAAGGTTATGGTCGATCTAAAACAAGTTGTCTCTATTGTGGAGCCTTTGGGTAAGTTTCCAAAACCAAAAAAGATTTTTCGTTTGGGTATTCCCAAACCCAATGCACCACGCCCTTTAAAGATGGTTTTCGAAGATTGTGAAGAAGCCCAATTATATTTGCGTTCGAATAAAACTAACCCCAACAAGAAATTCCACTTTCGAGCGGATCTTACTAGACTTCAAAGAGCTAAAAACCATGCGGTGATTGAAGAAATTAATCTTCGAAGATCACGGGGTGAATCAGATCTGAGGTTAATTTATAACAACAATGTTGCTCAAATCACTCGTGCTAATAAAGGAAGAAGGAGTCAACATTTAAACTGACTTCGTCACCCAATTACCTTAAATGTTCTCAGTGCTTTTACCAAAATGTTAGAGGCTTGCGATCTAAATGTGTACAATTTTTTAATTCAGTAGCTGCAAGTGAATATCATTTTATAGCAGTCACCGAGACATGGATCACACCGGATATCTCCAGTAGTGAATTATTTCCAGCTAATTTTGTTATTTATCGGCAGGATCGAAATTTAGATTCTCTTAATATAACTAGAGGTGGCGGCGTTCTTCTTGCTGTCGATAGCCTCTATAACTCAGTACGTATTGATCTATCTTCTATCACAACCTTGGTTCCAAGCATTGATATTGTTGGCGTTAAAATTACGGGTAAATCAAAATTTTTAATGTTTGTAATTTATATTCCACCTACAATTGCTTTTGATGACTTCTACTTGTTTTTTGAATCCTTCATGAACTTAAATATCGTCCAGAACGACAAATTAATAATATTAGGTGACTTCAACACTCCCTGTTTTGTAGATGGCTTAAAAAATCGATCTAGTTCTGTCCTAACTAATTTTAAAAAATTCTTCAATTTGATCCAAGTTAATTGTATTTGTAACAGCTACAACAAGTATCTAGACTTAGTGTTCTCCAATATTAATTGTAAAGTAAGTAAAGCAGATTCCCCGTTAGTGGTTGAAGATAAACATCACCCAGCACTGGTTGTGGACTGTTATGTAGATGATCAGTTTAAGCCCAATTTTGCGATGAACACGGAAAAATTAACATATAATTTTAAGAAAGCCAATTATCATCTAATGTACAAGCTCTTTTCAGAGACTGACTGGTCTTTCATAAACTCAATCTGTGAAAAGTCGGTACCAAAGTTTAAAGTTAGGCCTCCATCTCGTAAAAGTTATCCTCCTTGGTTCACTGGTGACATTATTGCCTGCATTCGTAATAAATCGATGGCACATCGTAACTACATAAGATTTAAAACGCCATACTATTATAACATCTTCAAGTCATATCGTTCCCAGCTCAACATTTTAATCGACACAGCATACAAGAATTATATTTCTAATATCGAGAACAGCGTCTCCACAAATCCAAAAAAATTTTGGGCTTTCGTACATGGCAAAAAAGGTCACTCTAAAATTCCAGGCGTAATGGAATACAATGATACCGAGCTTACATCACCGCTATCTATAGTTGAAGGATTTGCGCACTATTTTAACAGTGTTTATACCAACTCTAATCCGCTTACTTCTTCTTCCAATTCTAAAACTAGGTCGTCTGGCTTGGTGAATCTTGAAACCATATCAGAAAAGGATGTTCTTACAGCACTAAAAAGTTCTAAAGACTCTTTTACTATGGGACACGATGGTGTGCCCAGCTTCCTTTTAAAGGACTGTGCCTATGTTTTTATTAAACCTTGTTTATATTTATTTAATTTAATATTAAGGTGTGGTGTCTTTCCTGTTATTTGGAAAAAGGCAATCGTTTGTCCGATATTTAAAAAAGGAAATCAATCGAAAATTGTCAATTACAGACCCATCTCGCTGCTTTGTAATTTTGCTAAAGTATTCGAGTCGATTTTATTTAAACACATTTATGCTTCGACCAAAACCAATTTGTCACCGTTTCAGCACGGGTTCATGGAGAAACGCTCTACAATTTCTAATCTAGCATCTTTTACACAGTATACATCTGAGGCCATTGACAAAAAAAAGCAGGTAGATACCATATATCTTGATTTTCAAAAAGCATTCGATCAAATCGATCACTATTTACTAATAGATAAGCTTGAGCACTTTGGATTCTCTGACAGACTTATCCAACTTTTTACTTCATACATTTTCGACCGTGAA